TGAAGAAGAAACTGGCAGCTGGGGGAGAGAGAGAGAGAGAGAGAGAGAGAGATAGAGAAAGAGAGAGAGAGAGGGAGAGAGAGCAGACAGCATATGATATGTGTTGTCTGTCTGCAGCTGCCCCCAGTTGAACTAAACTTCCAACACTACTCAACACACAGACATAGGTTCACTTTAGGGGTTGAATGACCCAGGATTTTTTGAAAGTGGACTCTTATGTTATCAAAGTCAAGTCGACTAGTTGCTGGTGATTTCATCAATAAAACACAAAGATACAAACGTTTAGCAACACGCCAAAATTTGCGATTTATTTGCAGGAAATATATACACATGCTGTTTGACAGCTCTTAACACTCTGCAAAAACAACGCAACATTACCAATGACTCATTTTAGGTCAAAACAAATGCACTGTCAACAGTGCAAATGCACTGCCCAATGCACTGGGCATTTTTCGCGGTTACTGGCTTATCCTGTTTATCAGACATCTCCTCGATGCATATGGATATTTACCGGGGATGATGTTTACACTTGCTATGAAATTTTCCACACACGGCTGCGCACCTCGCCATTTCTGCGTGCTTCACAGTTCATTCACAAAATATGTCAGAGCATCTGTGCTACGCAGAGGACAACAGCCAATCACATTACCTTTCCAGGGTAGCATAAACGTGATTGGCTACCATCTACTGTATTTGCAATAAGCGACCTAACAGGCATACTGGCATCAGTTTGACGCTTTCCCTCAAAGTTCAAGTGAATCTTTGACACTGACATAAGAAAAATTAATCCGGAAGTGACGATTTTGGTCTCTTTGACTCGTTGGATGGAAACGCTGCTTTATTCGCACGTCTTTTAAGTAATATTCCAGTTATGTGCATACATTTAATTTGCATTTTTGGATGGAAAGACAGCTATTCAGCGATCCACCTTCATGTGTAAAACTGACATGTAGTTCAGGTCAAACCACGTGATCTGCACACCGTGACTAGTCAACGTCAATTAAAATAAATCACGGCACGACGGAACATCAAAGTCGACCAGTCAAATAGTTTGCGCAACCCTTAGTTCACATTTTGCAGCTAAAAGCCCGTTGAAAGTGTGAGGTGGGTTGCTTCTGTCACCAATTACAATTTGCTAGGCAGCCATCAACCGTTCCCTTAGAGGATGACAAATTGACCAAACCTTGCTGCAGCTCTGATACAGGTTTTATTAAGGGAGAAAATGAAAAAAAACTACAGTGTTTGGGTACGCTGCAGTTGTCTGAGGAAATTATTCATTCATTCATTCATTTTCTTGTCGGCTAAGTCCCTTTATTAATCTGGGGTAGCCACAGCGGAATGAACCGCCAACTTATCCAGCATGTTTTGACGCAGCAGATGCTCTTCCAGCCGCAACCCATCTCTCAGAAACATCCCCAAACACTCATTCACACATACACTACGGACAATTTAACCTACCCAATTCACCTGTACCACATGTTTTTGGACTGTGGGGGAAACCGGACCACCCGGAGGAAACCCACGCGAACGCAGGGAGAACATGCAAACTCCACACAGAAGCGGCAACTGAGCCGAGGATCGAACCAGCGACCTTCTTGCTGTGAGGTAACAGCACTACCTACTGTGCCACTGCTTCGCTGAGGAAATTAATCAACCGTTATTATTGAAATGTATAAATTACGAACAAAGTGTGAAGCCGATTAATTAGTAAGTCAGTCTTTTGTCCAAAGCGACTTACAGATAAGGAGGCATTCAGCGATTCAACAAGAGGCAATACACACAAGTGCTCTTTATATAAAGGAACTGTTAGCGCTCAGAGATATAAGTGCTAGAGTGAGGAGGGGGGGGAGTGTTTTTTTTTTAGAGAGAGTTTTTTTTTTTTTACAAGTGGTTTGTCAAGCCCACTCACCTGTGTGAGGCACACTTCATGAATGCACAAAGTTTTTATTTAGAGATATGGACTGATTGTAAGGAAGTGTCTGGTGCAAATGTGCAGAGTGTGCCAGAGATATGAAGGAGTGCGCTTTCTACAGGTGGTTTATCAAGCTCACTCACCTGTGTGAGGCTCGCTTGGAGTTGCATGTCTAGTGCTAGTCACTAGTTCAGTGAGTTGAGATCTTTTCAACTAGTTGCGCATGGAAAACTGAGTGCTCCCGATTTATAATGAACATATGAATGCGATGTGAACAGCCCCATACACGCTTTTATCATATATGAATGCAACTGCGTTACCTAAAACACTAAAAATTAATATATTTCTAATAAAATTAAACAATTCAAACAAACAATTTTATAAACTTATATATTTTAGCATAATGGCAAAGACACACAATCTATTGATATCCATTAGCAAGAGGAGGTCATGTGACTTTCCAGGTCTAAGGTCTATTTCTGCAGGTACCGTCAACCTCAGTGCTCATACGGCCTTGTTTTCTATAAATGGACTCGCCATCAGCCAGCAACATCGATAAGAGCTGTTTATAAAACAGGATTTGGAGCAGTTCAAGGGCACACTGAGTCGAAGAAAGGCTAATGATAACAGCTCAGTGCGTTTATCAAATAAAAATGACCAGTCAGATAGCAAAAATGCGTTCCATTGGCTTATTGAAGCATCCAGAATCAAGGTAACAGTACTAAAGTAAGCAATAATACAATAAAGCATTGCATGGTAGTAAATATCACCACATCAGCATGTATTATTTGAGCCAAATACTGCATTAGCTTAATTTCAAAATGTAATCCCCAAGTCCATTTACCAGGACACAGTCTTATAAAACAAAGCTCATGGTTTTATGATGAAAGATGCAACAAAGCAGCTACAGCGTCTATAAGATCATGCATTAATTTATTCATTCATCAGAAATTCATAACAAATCGATTGAAAAGAATAACTAAGGGCGACGCAGTGGCGCAGTAGTCAGTGCTGTCACCTCACAGCAAGAAGGTCGCTGGTTCAATCCTTGTCTCAGTAGCCGTTTCTGTGTGGAGTTTGCATGTTCTCCCTGCATTCGCGTGGGTTTCCTCCGGGTGCTCCGGTTTCCCCCACAGACATGCAGTACAGGTGAATTGGGTAGGCTAAATTGTCTGTAGTGTATGAGTGTGTGTGTGAATGTGTGTGTGGATGTTTCCCAGAGATGGGTTGCGGCTGGAAGGGCATCCGCTGCGTAAAAATGTGCTGGATAAATTGGCGGTTCATTCCGCTGTGACGATCCCCAATTAATAAAGGGACTAAGCCGACAAGAAAATGAATGAATAAATGAGAAAAACCAAGTGACCATTAAAACATGTATTAAGATCTTAAGGACTTTTAAAGTCTTGACCAACGTTATAATAGTTTTGGTTTTTGTCTTTATTTTGTTTTGACTTTTTCAAATTCAGTTCGCTTTAATTAGTTTTAGAGGCAGGTTTTTATTAGTTTTATTTGTTGAAAATGGTTCATTTTGGTTTAGTTTTTTTTTCAGTTTTAGTTTTTTTTTTTTGTAAATAAGGATATTTGTTAGGTGCAAGATTCAAAACCATCACAGGGCTCGAAATTAACCTTTTTTCTTGGTTCCACCGGTGCTTACTTAAAAAATTTAGGTGCACCAGACTAAGGGTGCTTTCACACCTGTGAATCGATTCAGTTGTACGAAAACAGAGATTACAATTGTTACATTGTTGCTCTTTGCTCTTGGAGCGGTTCACTTTCACACTGCAAAGTTTCTAATCGCACCAAAAGAGCTAAAACAAGTCACGTGTGAGTAAACTCTCCTCACATTGGTCAGAGTGTCAGTGTTTATTTTGCAGCGTCCCGCTAAGCTGTCAGGAGAGGTGGTGGTTTGGTGGTGATTGACAGGGTGCGCGCGCGATGTGTCTGAGGAGAGAAGCGATGGGGGGGGGGGTGGGGGGGTGCGCGACGATGCCTTTTTGAGGACCGGGAGGGAGACGCGAGATTACCGCGAGATCATCACTCATTTGCGGGCATCCGGAGACTCGCGAAACTTCCCGCCCTACTCATAATTCTCTCTTCATATAGCTGTAAGCCTATTACATATCCACATATCCACACTGTGATATAACCGCGCTCGGATCGGATCGCTTTCTAACTGCAATCGAACCGCCCCAGGGTTCGTTTTATTCGAGCCGAGACCACCTCATTCAAGCGATCTCAGAGCGATTACTTTGGCGCGGAACAGAGCGCGATTGCCCTGTTCATATATGCCAAACGAACCGCGCTAACTGGGCAAACGAGACACCTTCCGAAACAAAAGTGTAGGTGTGAAAGCACCCTAAATTTAGTCGCACATACCAAAAACTATGAGCACAGTTACTACATGTTTTATATGAACAGATTTATTGCATCTGAAATCAACTCTAATCACAACTAACAAATAAACAAAACTCTGCATGCGCTCACCGGCCCTGCACACACTGCTTGACGTGAGTGAGATGAACTCAATAAACAATAATAACTGTGCTGTTCTCACGGTGGTGTCTGATTTTGCACAGATGATATTGACATATAGCTTATTATTTGCATACGTCATCTTAATAGTAATAACGTTTTTTTTCATGAGCTGCAATATTAGTTTAATCTCATTAAATGCATGCTCTTTAGCGATAGTGAACGCGGTGTCAGTCGCACGACATGTTTGAGAAATGTTTGTTTCTACACAATTATAGTGTATTAAATTGTAAATGTAAATGTCTTTATTTCTTATGGTTGGGACAAAAAAAGACTACTGGATATTTTAAAAGCACAAGACCTCAGACAGGACAACTGAAAATGCATCAAAACAATTGTATTTCTTATTAAATTTGATGGGCCTTTAAAGTAGCCACTGTATTCTGATTTAGCCCCATCTCTCCATGCAAACCTTACATCTGTGCTCAGCATAAAAGGCAAATGGGCTCTTATGTACATCAAAATAACACAATTAACATGACTTATGGTTGTTCACAACCTGCAGGAACATTGAGTTAAACTAATGGAGAGATATTTTAGGAAAGGCAGCACTCACTGAAGGTTTTGCAGATGTCGGACACGGCCTTGAAGACGCGGTCGGAGAAGTTGACTTTCACTCTCATGTGCTTCATGTTGGGCAGCTGCAGGCGCAACAGCTTGTGCTGCGGCGTGAACAGCAGCCTGGCGTCCGCCTGAATGCCATATTTATCGAGCGTCCAGTGGGTCTTTAGCAGCCAGGTCTTCTTCTTTTCCCACCAGAGTGCATGATCTGACCAGTCCTTCTTCACATCTGTGTAAAGACAGAAAGAAAAATGGGACGAGATTAGAAAACACAGTAGCTTTCTTTCTAACTATATCATCTATGAAGGCAAAGTCAAAAGTTTTGTTTGGCTTTAAGGCTGGGTGATAATTTGATAGTGATTTTCATGCACATTTTGTCAGTAAAGCCGGTTCTAGTAAACCTCCAGCAGTGGTTTTCAGATGAAGCAGCATTTACAGCACATAAAAGAGTCATAATTCACTGTTAAGGGCAGAAATTTTCATATGCGTTTGTTTTTTTTTGTATTCAAATGCGAAAAATTTGTCACACACACACAAATCTTGCACATCAGAGTCCGATGTGTATCAATTAAATCGGTTGTGTAATAATTCGCAAAACGGTACAAAATGGAGCCAACAAGCTATTGTTAACCTCAGTAACGTTACTTTATAAACTTTAACAAAACGTTTATTTTGAAATCAGTGCCTACTATCCTGGTTTCCAAGGTCTTTGTGTCTTAATGTTCCTTACTTTGCTTATCATAAAGGGCTTTTGTGTTGTGAGACTAAGTTGATTAGTTTCTCCGATGCCATTCTGGATTTTGCCTTTGGCTTGTATGCAGGCCCTGAATTGTCAAAGTACCTCTCAAAACACCTTTTCGGATGTGAAAAATGAACCCAATTCAAAACCTTTTAAGACGTACGAAAGTTTCGAAGGCAGCGTGTCAATACGTTTAACATCACATGAGGTAGAATTTATTTTTAACAAGCAAAAAATTACAGACGAAACTTTCTGATTCAGTCTGCAATAACCTTTAAGCTACGCAGAATTGAGTGATAATGAAATTGAGATAATCGTTTTGTGAAGATGACAGCTGTGGTTATAATGAAGTAGGTGATTGTCTTCAGAAACGTGTGTTGTTGTGCTGGCTGAAAGTCTCTTCACAGTCCAATAGTAATGATTAAAGTAAATGATCTAAATGTGTTTATATGTATTTTTATATTCTGGGTGAGGCAAAAAAACAAAAAATGTTTATCTAATTAAAAATTGTCAGGCTGATAATTCCCACAATTCTGATGAGTAGCCCAAACTGTCCGTCAACAAATGTAGATTTGAACATCTGTGCAGCCGTTCATGTAGATCCACCATTTGCGCATGAACGCTCGCCATGTTTACGACGCTTGCACATGCAAAAACAAATGCTGAATCGAAACTTTTTTATATCCTAAATCGCTATTGGAGTTACTTTTGCACACGCAAGGTAATGTTCTGTTTTAAAAGTATTTTAGTCACACAGCGCTGATGTAGATTGTGTTGCTCTATGAATGGGTTATGTGCACAGAAGTGTTGTTCAGCCACTGAAATCTTCTGGTAAACGATTGATGTGACTATTTTCTGTTTCATAAGGGACCTTTTACAGCATTGATAATGTAGATTTATATTAGTTTAACAACAAAACGTCAGTAAATAGTGCTACTCCGACTAGCCTGCTTTACCATGACAAATTTTGTGTGCTACACAACTGAAAGGTCCAAGATAAAATACAGTTTTTTACCATAAAGTTTTCTAACTGGCAAATGATCAAGTGGGTTGTCTACTGTCATCTTTAAGGTGTGCATTTGGGGTTCAGAAGGCGTGGCTTTGAACGTCAGGGGTAAGACTGTGCTTCAAAGACAAATTTAAGACTTTCTAAGACCTTTTTAAGACCATTATGAAAGAAATTTTAGACTTACACAAGGCTAAACGCTAGAGATTTTTTTGTAATGGGCCAGTTAAAACAAAAACAAAAATCAATAAAAACAAATGCTATTTTAAGGAAGATAATTAAACCGTACTGGTAAATAGAGTTAATAAATAAAGTATTTTTGAGATGGAATGGTGTTAGTCATTGCGTAGCTTTACATGGGCACTGGAAAATTAAGACCTGTTTAAAATGATTTACGACCTACAACAATATTAATGTAAATTTAAGACTATTTAAGGCATAAAGTTTTGTTTTTGCAATTTAAGACATTTAAAGACTTTTTAGGACCTCATGGATACCCCGTTAATTACTTTGTTACATTAGAATTTTTGATGATTTTTGTGAATGATTTTCATCATCCAATTTTTTTTAACAAAATTTAAAATGAAGGTGGTGGCAGTGAAATTTAATGTAATGTGTATTTATATTATATACCATGTAGGGCCATTTATCCAAAGTGCCAGGACAGCGGGGTTACACCCTTACTCTATTACGAGAGTTCAACAGAGAGTCAGGACCTTGCTTTAACGCGTTATCCGAAAGACGGTGCTCACTGACAGTATAGAGTCCCCATCACTTTACTGGGGCATTAGGACCCACTAACAGTATTTGGATGCAGCCTTTATGATGCAAGCTGAGACTGCATCACTCAGCGATGCAATGTCAGACACAATGCACTCAAATGGAGCGAGTGACATCACTGCGAGGGGTAGGGTTAGGGTTAGGTGAGCCTATTAAAAAGCATGGGATGCAGCCCAGATTGCATCCAGACCTCTCTTGGACCCACACAGACCATTTGTTGAGCGCCTCCTGCTGGCTTTGCTAACACCACTCCCAACAGCTAGCTACCTAGTTTTCCCATGTGGTCTCCCATCCAGGTACTGGTGGGAAAGTGACAGTCTTGTGGCTTAATACTGGTAACACCGACTATAAAAGCAAGCCGATTTACTACTGATCATACAACCGTGCTTTCCTGATAAGATGTGCATGACGATCGCAGCTTTGAGATTTCACTTAGCCCTATTATGAAGAATTTATCTGACAAATGCTCTTCTATCTCAGTTACATTCATTTATACACAAAAATCTAATTGGTTTTATGTGGTATTTTCTTGCCATTTTCAATAAGTAATTTTATGCAATATCCCAAAACTTGGGCTGGAAACCCAGTAACTGATAGACAGTGAGAAAGGGAGGAAGACAACAGGATGAAAAGTAACCGAGCTAAAAACGGGCCTGTAATTTGGCTGCACATTCAGCAAAGCAATAGAGTTGAAAGCGAGGTCAACTGAAGGGAAACACGGTTAAGTGTCAGACGTGTTTGTGTGTGTGAAGCTGAACTTGCCAGAGTGGAGGCCTGGATGAAAGTGAGAGGGCCAGGCATTCACCAGGAGGCTCCAGCATACGGGCCAAAAATAGGAGCAGTCGGAGGTGAAACACTGAGAAGCGTTTGTATGTGTGAGTAAGGAGATCAGGGTCAAGCCTGTCTCTTTGTTCCAGATTCACATTGTAATCCGAGTCCGATACTCTAAACCTGATTTTCCTCTAACAGCTGCACACAAAACAACACAGGATGTGGGCTGCAGGTTTTTTGTTAGCTACAGAAGAGAAAAATCCAATTCATGCTAATGGAGAGATCTACTAGATACAGCTTCCAGATTTGGCTTTCTCTTCAAGAGCACTCATAGGGATCCTGTTTTCGAAAATTCAGTAGTGTCGTAATAACGCTAGACTTTCTTGTTCTAGGAACACAATACAATATTAGGCATTGAGAACATCTTACTACTGCTTTTTATGCAACATTTAGAAAAAGGCAGCAAATTTCAGAGCGATACATTTGAAAGCTGATTATATGCATTTTGTGACGGTGCATACTAGAGCTGCGCAATATATAATTACAGCATCGATATCACAATGTGCGGATCCGCAATAGTCGCATCTGCACTGTAGAGTCAGGAATAGGGCTGCATGGGATTATTGCATTACACATTGCAATGTTAAAAGGAAAACCTCAAACACACGGCTTCCTTTTGTGACAACATGGGAAAATCAACGAGCCAGAATCAACAAAAAAAGCCAGATTACAATTTGCTAAATTACACTGGGAAAAAGACTAATCTTTGGAGACATGTCCTGTGGAACTAAGATTGAACTGTTTGGTCATAATGACCAGTTTTACATTTGGAGGACAAAGGGGAAAGCTTACAAACCTAGGAACACCATCCCAAACGTGAAGTATGGGGGCGGCAGCATCATGATGTGGGGCTGTTTTGCTGCAGGAGGGACTGGTCCACTTCACAGCATAGATGGCATCATGAAGACAGAACATTATGTAGAAATATCAGCCAGGAAATTAAATCTTGGCCACAAATGGGCCTTCCAAACAGACCATGACCCTAAGCACACTGCCAAATTAGTTAAAATGTGCTTTAAAGACAACAGAGTGAATGCTTTGGAGTGGCCATCACAAAGCCCTGATGTCAATCCTATAGAAAAATTTGTGGGCAGAGTTGAAAAAGCTTGTGCGAGCAAGACTCAGGCTGACAAAATCTGACTCAGTTGCACCAGTTCTGTCAGGAGGAATGGACCAAAATTCCTTCAAACTGTTGTGAGAAGCTTGTGAAAGGAGACCCAAAACATTTGACCAAAGTTGCACAGTTTAAAAGCAAAGCAAAAAAAATATTAAGGAAATGTGTGTCAACTTTTGGCTGTCTAGAAATCAATAAAAAAAAGTCTCTCATTATTCTGGCATTTAGCAAATGTAAATCATTTGGGTAATCCTAACAGACCTAAAATAGTAAACATTTAGTATGATTTACCATCAGACATTTTTTTAAAAAATGGTTATGTTCCTTTTTTTAGAGTGTGTGTAAGCTTCTACTGCATAGTCTTCATTTTATAAACAATTCCATAAAATATTTAGTTATTACTTTATCAAAGGCACAAACAGTACATTTTCTTATGCCCGAATGCTTTTAAAACACTCATACAGTCAGAAGCCTCAAAAAACACATGCAAAATGATCAGTTATAATCCAGACTCGACATTGCGTACACTTGCAATGTGACGATTGGGAATGATCATGTTGCGATATCAATGCTGAAACGATATATTGTGCAGCCCTAGTTGGGATTATAGTTGACCAGACAATATTACAGGAGTCATTTAAAATTTGAACCTTAAGGCCTGTGCACACGCTTACATACAGCACAATACAAAACATCTTGAAACACGCTGATTAGCACAAGCTAAAGGTGTTTCGGCATGTACGAGCCATTAGAGCAGAG